GGGGGCTGCGGGGGCCCGGGCGGCGGCGGACGCCTGGGCGGGGACAGCACGGGCAGCCAGGCCCAGAAGGTCATCATCTGCCATCGGGGCACCCGTAAGTGCATCCACATCCCAGCTCAGGGAGACGGGGACGGGCACACCAACGTCCCGGAGGGGCTGCGGGAACAGACCGACAAGCGGACTGAAGGACCGACCGACGGATGGACGGATCGTTGATGGGCACAGGCAACCTTGAGCGCTAGCTCGCGTTTCTCAAATTTTTTCCGCCACTTTGACCGCGGTTCGAAGGGCGCGGGTCCCCGCCAGACTTGCAGCTCCTGGGATTCTGGGGAAAGGGCGCTGGGGGCTGGAGGGGTGGAGGAAGAGGGTTCTGTATAACCGCAAGACGCCTGTTCAGTCGAGGTGGCCATGAGGGGATCCTAAAAGAACCGGAGGGGATCACTGGGAATATGGTTGGACATTTACAGTCTGTTTTCTTTTCTCACCTTTCCAGGGTCTCCCTCCCCTAGCGACCCGGATTATGGCCTCCCTCCCCTTGCAGGACACTCTCTCTCATGGACTGATGAAAAACAACTCAGAGAACAAAATATTATCCGAACAGCCAAAGTTTGGACCCCAGAGGACCCCAGAAAACTCAACAGCAAATCTTCCTTCAACAACATAGAAAACGAACCTCCCTTTGAGTTTGTGTCCTGAGAAGTTCACGACCCGGCTGAGAATCTGATTACATATTGTACATGTAAATATCTATAATGTAAATGTAATTTAAGAATCAAGTTTTTGTAATGGCAATCAACTGTTTGTTATTTATCTATTTATTATCCTGTTGAGTTAATGAAATAGATGATCTTTTTAAAAGTATATAATTTATCTAATTTATCTTGATTTTCTAAAAATATGCAATAGCCTATGATTCCCTCGGCACCTTTGGCAGAACTCTGCGTTGTTGAAAGAACTCTGGCCAGAAAACTTCTTGCTTATTTATTGCCAAATATGGTTTATTTTTAAAGCGTTGTTAATAAATGCTATTTACACTCTTTTCTACAAGTTTGTGTTTGGTACATGATGGGGGTAGCTATATCTTTTAAGATCATTAACTTAGTAAAAATGAACTGAATCAGAGACTCAAACTGTAGTTACCTAGTAAGAAACCACCTTTTATTTATATCTAGCCTGAAAGGGAGTGGGTTACAGGGTTAGGCCTCAACTCTCTTTAACAGCTCTTCGTCTGCACCGCCTGTGCTAAACAGCAACAACTTTTGCCTGTATTTTTATCCTACCTCCCAATCGCCCTATGGAGGTCTGTCATGGAGTATTTATCATTCCCATTTCTCAGAGGAGAAAGCTAAGTTTCGGAGATGTTTGGATTACCCAAGGTTACCCCCACCATGCCTAAGCATAGTGTCTGAAAGCGAGCGCGCTGCATCGGGTGGGTGCGGGGGTCTAGTTTCTGGGCTGGGCAAGGGAAGACGCCTTTCTGCTTTCCATGGGCTGGGGAGAAAGGGTTGTCTTCAGCTGCCCTGTGACCCCTCCTTTCGGCAGTCACAGAATCAGGTACCTGGAAATCAGACATACTCCTCTCAAAGGAGATGGGGCAGGTGACGGTGCTGAAGCTGGGAGACCAATTGGAGGCCTCCCAACAAAATCCAGGCGTTTTCAGGTAAGGCGGAAAGGAGCCCGCCTGCCACCCGCCCCGTGCCACCTCTGCAGGTGGGTTATTTCTAACATTGACTTCGTTTTGCCTCCAACAGAACTTCGTCTGCCTTGGCGTGCAACCTGGGGCGGAGGGCGCAGGGTCGCCCCCTAGCGAAGGGGAGAGGAGCGAGGGCGCGGCTGGGCTCGCTTAGCCAGAAAGTCCCGCAAGCCCGGGCGCTGCTCGTCTTTTCCGCCGCCACAGGTCGCCTCCCAAACCCTCGGGACGCCCCCGCCTGTGGCCTGAAGCCGGCGAGCGCACGGATGGCGCAGGGGCGGAGCGGCAGACGCGCACCTTCGCGTGGCACCGCCGCCCGGCGCCGCGCAGGCCTGGCCGAGGCGAGGTGCTGCCCCGCGGCCCGGCATAGGCCTGATCCGACTGGGTCCAATCGCGCATCGCCGCAATACCCACGGCCCTGGCGGAGGACAGTATGCCGGCAGCATGCTAATTGCTTTAACCTAGTTTCAGACCCACCGAGGGGTGCCCCGCGCGCCGCGGGTGCCATGGACCTCGTCCAAGAGCAATTAAAGCGAGGCCGCGAGCCCGACCCCGCAGCGCGGCCTGGCCAGACGCGGAGATTCTGGGTCGCGAGGCTCCCCGGAGACCCCTGGCCGTGGACGTCCTCACCTCCTTCAGCCTTCGCGCCCTCTCCCGTTCCTCCCCCTAAAAGATGATTTCACACTGGAGACAGAATTTGAGAGCGAGGGAAAATAATTCGATTTTGTCCTGTATTAGGGCCTCGTTAAACACGAAAGTTGCTTTTGCACAAATGCTTCCATCAGGCATGTAATCTCATTACACTCATTA